GGATGGTCTCGATCTCCTGACCTCGTGATCCGCCCGTCTCGGCCTCCCAAAGTGCTGGGATTACAGGCTTGAGCCACCGCGCCCGGCCCCATTTCCTCTTTTTAATACTGCTCTCAGCTCTTTAAATGTTTGAACATAGCTACCATTTCTCAGCCTTTGCTTCTTCTGGTTATTATAATCTGTTTTGTAACCCTTAAGCCACCTTGGACATTTTTTTCAATATCCAGAGATCCATATATATGGTATAAAAGTTAATTTCAAAATTTTTTAAATGACTGATTTTATGCAACATTAAATATCTCTATCAATGATAAGTTTTACATAATACTCACTCTACCAAAACCGATGTCTGAAACAGCTTACCGACCATAACTGGAGTTCCTTCGCTCTGGAAATGCTTCGCCAGTTCCCGTCCTTGAGAGGCCATTTCTGAACCTTGGCTAGAAAGAAACCGTTTTCTATCAGATGAATGACTTCCAACACTAAGGCCAAATAATGAGCGAGGAGACAATGTTTCCTACATTCTTGTTTTTTCGGGTTGTTATTGATAAAATTTATAAATGTAAAAAAATTAAGTGGTACGGAACTGACAGAACAATTAAACTGTGCGATTTAAAGCAACATAAACTCAAAGTACTTCAGGCCGCTCAGCGTGGTAGTTAAGAAGCTAACAGACCTTGATTTTCTGCTGCTTGGGCTGCGTAAAGGCGGCCTGGGTTTATTCACATGAAGTTAAAACGTCACCTTGGTGCTCAGGGAGTTCTTATGGATGGACTGATCAGAAGAATGAGTGTTAAGTGCTGGGTTCTTGCCCTCTTGTTGGTGCACTTCTCAGTCTGTATTTCCTCATCTTTACACTGGGACCCAAAATACCAACCTGTCTACACACCAGGAGAGTCTCGGACTAAAACACGTGTCTGAAATCAACGCGAAAGCTGCAAAATGTTTTCAAGTGCAACATACTATTTTTAGGGACTCTCAGAATTCTTACTTTTGAGAAGAGAAAGAAAGATGGGCTAATGAAAGGAGGTATTTTTTGGGGGGAGGTGTCCGGTGGTGCTAAACCTTAGCTCTTGCTTAATGAGGAATGTATAATGTTTTAACGTACCAAAACTGTAACTTTTAAAAAAAGTTCTTCACTACTTAAGCCTGTCATTGTTTTTTATTATTACTTTTTTTTGAGATGGAGTCTTGCTCTGTTGCCCAGACTAGAGTGTAGTGGCGCAATCTCAGCTCACTGCAACCTCCGCCTCTCAGGTTCAAGGGATTCTCCTTCCTCAAAGCCTCCTGAGTAGCTGGGATGACAGATGTGTGCCACCATGCCCAGCTCATTTTTGTATTTTTAGTAGAGACAGGGTTTCACCATGTTGGCCAGGCTGGTGTCAAACTGCTGACCTCAGGTGATCCACCCACCTCGGCCTCCCAAAGTGCTAGGATTACAGGCATGAGCCACTGCGCCCAGCTAGAAAATGTATTTTAAAACATAAGCTCATACAATCAGGAGTAAGCTAGTTATGGTCATAGAAAATTATTTATATTTTCTCATTTTAATATTAGAATTATGGTTAAGATACACTGGAAAAGACAAAATGAATACATTATTTGGACTCATGACTGGATTATTAATATTTTAGGAAGAAAAAGAGCAGGAGGTAAACAAAAAGCTCAGTCATACTCAGCCTCCTGAGTAACTGGGATTACAGGCATGTGCCACCACACCCAGCTAATTTTTTTGTATTTTTAGTAAAGACGGGATTTCGCCCTGCTGGCCAGGCTGGTCTCAAACTCCTGACCTCAGGGGATCCACCCACCTCGGCCTCCCAAAGTGCTAGGATTACAGGCGTGAGCCACTGCGCCCAGCTAGAAAATGTATTTTAAAACATAAGCTCATACAATCAGGAGTAAGCTAGTTATGGTCATAGAAAATTATTTATATTTTCTCATTTTAATATTAGAATTATGGTTAAGATACACTGGAAAAGACAAAATGAATACATTATTTGGACTCATGACTGGATTATTAATATTTTAGGAAGAAAAAGAGCAGGAGGTAAACAAAAAGCTCAGTCATAGATCAACATCTGAGTTTTTCCTTTTAAAACTTTTTACAAGATTGGAGCATAAAGAAACTGTTAATACAATTTTTATAACTACTCAACGTTAATATATTTTTAAGGTTTCCTCTTCTAGGCTAAAATTAGGCCTAAATAATACAAGTATACATTACTCACAAAGTCACTTTGAAATAATTTATCTAATTTCTTAAAGTGTCCTTACCTGACAAACAGTATTTTTGAAGTTATACCAATCAATTGGTTTAGTACCAGCTGTACCTCAATAGATCCAATCCATTGCCGTGATCCGACAAATGTTGCTGGTTTGTCACCGGCATCGACTAGAGCCTTTATGTATTTAAAAATATAAAAAAATCCATACACAAGACAGGCATTAAGAATACTTTTTTCTTCAAAACAGAAATAAGTCTGCACCATGAGGTAACAAATATTATCAATGGTATATTATATTAAGGGCTAATGAAATGTAGAGTTGATTATAATTTAAAATGATATGTTCTGTACCTGCTGAATTTCTCTGTGTGTTGGAATGGACCTCTCTGTGTATCCCTGATGTTTGAACCAAGAGCAGATAGTCTGCAGAGATCGATAAGCACAGCCCCAGCCATTGTCATCAATCCGATCCTGCATATAATGATGATAACCATATACGCCCTGGACCACACAAATCTATACACAGAGAAGAAACACAGTGAAATATTAACTTAGGATAGAAGTACATATTCTATATATGCTCCTGAATTATGTTTAATGTCACTGTAGTTCCTTATAAAAATGCCTTCACAGATCTATGGTTTAACATTATACCTTCTTGGCTTTTTATCTGAGGTTCAAAGTCCTTACCACGGGGCCCAGCAGGACCTACCTTCGGGCCTCCTCTTCAATTTCATCTCCTAAACTTTTCCCTATTGCTCCCTCTACTTTCAGTTCCCATATACCAGGGGCAACATGACCTCGGAGCCTCATGGTTCTCCTGGCCTGGAGCTCTCTTTTCCCAATTTAATTGTCCAGCTTGCACTCTTACTTCACTCAGGTCTCCATTTAGATGTCAGAGGTCTTCCCTGACCATGCAGTCTACAGACGGGCCACTCATTCTCTCACTGCCCCACCCCCTGCCTCACCTGTCATCTCTGTCCTCTTTATGTTTTTATTTGTCAAAGTATATCACTACCTGACACATTACATATCATTTAAAAAATATCTGCCTACCTACACTAGAATGTGAGCTCAGTGAGTACATACACCGTGTCTTATCCATTTTGGGGCCCAAGCTTCTACAACATGCCTGGCACGCAGTTGGCATAAATGTTGTTGAATAAATGCTGAATGAAGGAAGGAAGGAATAAAGGAATGAACGAACAAGTGAAGGGTCCATATCATGGGACACAGGAAGAATGTTTGTGCAAATTTACAAACCTGCTATGATTGCAGCCCAGGTATGTGATTTGATGACCCTAAATTAAGGCTCAAAAAATAAAAATAAATAAATTACTAATATCACATAAATTCTTACTTATAATGCTAAGAATGTATACGTCTTTTTTTAAAGAACTGGGTTTTTGTTTTTATTTTTTTGAGATTGGGTCTCACTATGTTGCTCAGGTTGGTCTTAAACTTCCGGGCTCAAGTGATCCTCCTGCCTCAGCCTCCTGAGCAGCTGGGATTACAGTTACATACCACCATGCCTGGCTCCAAACTGATATTATTTTTTAAAAATTAGGTGAGAAGAGAGAGGGGCAAAGACGGAACCAACCCTCACCCAACAATTAGAGAATATATATTCTGCCCAAGCACAGATAGAAAAATTTGTAACTTGACCATTGTGGCAGGCTGAAAGGTGGCTCCCAAAAGGAATATATGTCCTAATCCCTGGAACTTGTGAATGCATCCTCTGTGCTAAAAAGTAAAAGAAAAAAGAAAAGCAAAGGTATTATAGACATGACTAAGTTAAGGATCTTAAGATGGGCAGGTTATCCTGGATTCCAGTGGGCCCCAAATGCAATCACATATATTCTTAAAAGAGTGGGCATAGGAGGAGAAGGTAATGTGACCAAGGAGACAGAGATCAGAACGATGGGGCCACAAACCAAAGGATGCTAGCAGCCACCAGATTAAGGAATGGATTCTCCCCCAGAGCCTATGGAGGGAAGGTGGCCCTGCTGACACTGTGATGTCAGCCCAATGACACTACTTTCAGACCTCCAGAACTGAGACAATACATTTCTGTAGTTTTAAGCAATCAAGTATGTGATTATTTTTTAGGGAACAAATACAAGTTTCAATAAATGCCACGATACGATGGCCAAGTCTTCTTTCTCTTGGGAATCTGAATTGAGAGGTGCAGAGTTAGCCAGGCAGCTGGCAGCAGGAAATGCAGTTGGAATGAGGCATATACTGAGCAGCTGAGGAAGAACAGGAAAAAGTGACACACAAGCTGAAACAGTAAGGACATAGAGGGTATGAGGCTGAGCAGACAGAGTAAAAGTTAAGAACAGGCCAGTTAGGATCACAAGCATACACAGAAAGCAACAGCAATGCCACCAAGGTATCCACGGAGTCCTTGAGAGAGACTGAGGGGGGACAGCTGCCAGTCACAGGGCTGCTGTTTCTGAGAGACCCGGCTGTACTGGTATTCCTAATCTTGGATGCCTATAAGGTCCTTTCACATTGGCCTCCATGCATCCTTAAAGTAACCCTTCTAACACCCTCTGCCAGTTCACTCTTATTTGAGCTACCTTTAGTGAGGTATATGTTACACAGAATACCTCACTATGGCAACCGGGTATATGTTACACAGAAAATAAGTGTAGACTTATCCTACAGTGGCTGGGCACAGTGGCTCACACCTGTAATTCCAGCACTTTGGAAGGCCTACATGGCGAATCACTTGAGGTCAGGAGTTCAAGACCAGCCTGGCCAACATGGTGAAATCCTGTCTCTACTAAAAATACAAAAATTAGCCAGGTGTGGTAGCAGGTGCCTGTAACCCCAGCTACTCAGGAGGCTGAGGCAGGAGAATTGCTTGAACCCGAGAAGTGGAGGTTGCAGTGAGCTGAGATCACACCATTGCACTACAACCTGAGTGACAGAGTGAGACTCCGTCTCAAAACAAAACAAAACAAAAACAAAAACACGTATCCTACAGTATGGTTTGGGTAGACTATGCCCTTAATTAGCATGATTTCTCAGGTATCCAGAATGAAAAAATGGGACAAGCCTTTAAAGAAATAAGGAGAATTTTGGTAAGATAAATGTGGTATATACTACCTATTACTAACTTTTCTAGACCATTTTTAATTACTGCTATCTTAAGCAATGCCTGTTAACAGAGATGGGTGATAAATCATGTTTTAGGAATGAATATATCATGAATCAAGTCTTCTACCAGGTAACAACAAAAAACAACTAATAACATTACTGATCAAGTGACTCCCATAATTAGTTAAACTCACCATACCAGTCTCCATGTTAGGTGGATTAAGATAAGTATGTGGATTTCTAATGTAACCATCTTTGTATGGTTCATCTGGAAAGTGATAAGCATTAGACCTTTTGAAATAGGGTCTGTCATGAGGCAGATTGAAGCGATCATGTAACTCCTAAAATAAGTCAGAATCAATGGAAAAAGAAAAAATGTTGGTGATTTAGATTCCTAGTCAATAAATAAACTAAAGATGTTATAAAACACAGAAAATTATATATGGGTTATAAAAGTTTCCAAACACTTATGGTTTAATTCACTAACATCAAAGATAGTGAAAACTGAACTAAAACCAAGATTTATTTTCGTTTACGTCTGTATCTGGGTAGAAACTGGAAGGGAACAGAGAAAAATGAATATAAATTGTTAGAGTAAGAGAACTGAGATAATTTTTAAATAATTATTATAACATAGTCTGTTAAAATACATCCAGGCTAAAGACTGGCTTTGAAATGGCCTTGTAAATGAGTAAATTATAATTAACAATAATTATATCAAAGTATTTTGAAAAATCATGTCTAGAGTGCTTTACAAATATTTTATATTTTAAGTGGTAGTGATTAAGCTACAGAGTAGAAGTTAGTGGTCTAAAACCAACCAATATGGCAGGAAAATAAATACACATACATGTTTAAAATGTGATATTTTCCCAACTGTATAAAAACATGTAATAGCTATTTTAAAATTTTGACATGTTCTTTATCATATCTTGTGCTCTAGTGGTTTGAAAAGATCAGCTCCTGTAGCTGCTGCTTCTATAAACCAAGTCACCGCCACATACAGAGGGTCAGGGTATCACGTCTCTCCCTAAGGACAGAAATTAGGAAGATGCTCCGTGGTCTAATTTGATGAGTTCTAAGCAAGTCCACATACCAAAAAGATGTATTCCACAACCAGCCATTTTGCCAGTAAACCTCATTACTCTGAATGCTGGTAATGTTTGCTCCCAAATTCCTCTAATAAAGCCCAAATAACCTTACTGGTGGAGTATTACCATAAACCCTATTCAGAATTAGCATAAGTTATCATTTTCCTTCCCTAACTGTCATCTTGTTTCTTTCACAAACCTGGAAGTTACAGAAATTTGTTTACACCAGCTACTTTAGGCAGGTAAGCACCTTTTCATTTCTATGTTTCATTAGGGAAAAATATTAAAATTTCACAGAATATATGAACCACACCGAGCATTTAAAATTAAAATGTTACATACAGGTTCAACATAAGATTTTTTCACTAATACTACTTAAAGTTTCAAGAGAACAGAAATTAAATAATGTGTAAAATGAACAGTCTAACTTCTACACTTTTAAGTTAAATCACAAAATCCCTTCCCTATTTAGTGGAAATATATAATTAAATACAAAATGAATGATAGTCATTATTGTTTTTTCTAAGAATAAATGAACTGGTTTTACCTTCCTATAGGCCTGCAGCTGGCCATCTGGTATTCCTGAAGGATAGGAAATTGTTACAAGATTTTTTTTCCCTGGTAATAAAAAGTGCAGTGGTTCAGGGACCACAATAGACGTTCCTTTCATATATTTCAAAATACATTTTTCCATGTCAGTCAGTTGATTATGAATTGCATCAACTAGGAGTTTACGAACTCTGGGGGGGGAAACATATAAGTGTATTAACAAAAGTTATAGTGGCTACAATAAAGAGAAGTACAGAGCTAATATATTCTTAATATAGTAAAAAACTTGATTGGACCAGGTTTGCTAAAGGAAGTCTGAATTATGCATTATAAAAGAAACTGTATATTTGCTCTTGTGGATAAAGGGAAATCCTCCAGGTTTTAGCATGCTACCCACCCTACTTCCTCCAAATAACCATTTAACTAATAGATGGCTCTTAGGTTAATAATAAACAAGGAGAAAATCACACCTTACGTATGCCTATAGGATACAGAAACATGGGTTTGGGGAAGGGCCCTGATTTAAATGTGGCAGTGGTACTACAAAAATACTTACTTTCCCCATGTTTCTTCTGGAGCCACAGATATAACTGCATCGACAGGTAAAGTCATATTAACATAATGGTGTCCTCCGCTTTCCCTTTCAATGATGGGCGTTACAGCTGCCAGGGAGGTTGACATTTCCAGCATAAGATCTATATTTACTATTTGATGCTATACAGATAAACAGGAATAGTCAACTTGTAGTATATTAAAGACTAAATATAAAAAGTAAAAAGACTTTTCAAAAATGTATTTTTTATTAAGAAAAAAAATTTAAGACTAGTCAAGTACAGTAGTGAAAAGGGGGGAAAGAGTAGAGAACAAGGAGTTCAATCTGTAACTGGCTGTGAATGGTCAATTGAGATAACTCACTACCCCCAGACCAGCCGGTAAAAGGACTTTTAAAGGATAGTATATAAAGCGGTACTACAGTAAAAAGATTAAAAGCACAAATATTATTTTAAAAAGAAATTACTTTTTGCTTCAAAATAATGTGGGGAGAGGGATTAAGAAGTAAAGATGAAATCAGACTGGCCATGTGTTGATAAACATTAAAACCATGCATAGGTTCACTGGGGTTCATTACATGATTCTCTCCACTTTTATATTGACTTAAAATTTTTTAAAAATCAAATGAACATAAAATAACCACACACCAAAGGAACTTTCAAACATGTAACTATATACCCCTGGTCTAATACATAAATAACTATAAACAAATACTGAATTCTACTTTGTAGGTTTGATTTTTACAGGGGTATGGAACAATTCTGAAATTTACACTAAACAAATTTTGCAAAATATTGAGGATCCTGGGAGACAGACTTCTCACTGGGAAAAGGTCAAGCACTCTAGGGTTGAAGTGGAACTGGAGGTATCAATGTGATTTACATAGATAAAAATGAATGTGTTATATGTGTGTGTGTGTGTGTGTGTGTGTGTGTGGACAGTATAAATGTCTAAAAGTTTGTGCCCATGGAAAAATGACTGATTCCCCAGCTAGAACAGGGAAAACACATGTTGCACCTGGAAAAAAGTAGGAAGTGCCCAAAATTACAATGTTAGAAAGGCACCGGAGCCAGCTTGAAGAAGCTTCTATTGGCCAAATCTTGGAAAATGTGAGCATCAAAATAACTAATGATAGTACCAGATTATAAACTACTGCATAAAATAAGAATCCATGGCAGATAATACAGAAGGAAATGATAGATTTAGAAAAATCACCACTTTGTAATCACCAGGTTAATACTGGATTCTGGCAAAAATTATCAATGGATGCTAAAAGTGGTGGGTAAAAATCTGATGAGGACTAAAGTAAGATACATATGTAGTATCAAAGTTTCTTCCCACAAGATACTAATTATAAGGCAAAAAACAGTACCTTTACCACGGAGAAAACTGGTGGATGCCATCTTAGGTAAGTGAAGTTAACCTCACCAATAATAGGAACAGACTGATAACCGTTTCTCTTTCATATGATGTGCTGAGGTCACAACCTCGCTTCTGTGGTATCCCTGCCAATAATACATGACCTAACTCTAATAGCAAGGAAGCATAAAACAAATCCAAAAGGAGGAACAGTCTTAAAAAGAACTCACCTGTACCCCTCAAAATGTCAAGCTCCAATTACTGGTAATTTTCAAATCATTGTATCCAGCCCATAATTATTTTGTGCATTCCACATCTGTAAATCTAACAGCTCATCTGTACATCTTACTGAGGTCTTAAACATGGCCCAAACCAACCTCATGTCCTCCTCACCTTCCATCTTTACCCACGCAAGAAACTGATCTTGCCAGTTAGTTTCCAAGCAGAATCCACTGTATCCCTAAATATCTCTCGTATCCAATCCCTTTTCTGTATTTCCATAGCTAGTGGTTTCGTTAGGCCTCTTCTAAAGAGGCCTGTGCCCACCTCTCCAGCCTTACGTCCACCCATTCTCCCTCTACTAGCCTGGAAACACTGTAGTCATATTAACTTTGTACAACTTCGTGCCTTGAAGAAGCATCTCCATTTTTTATCTTCAACATCTGTTAAAGTTTGTGGCACATGGCAGGTACTCAGTAATATTGGTTCAAAAATCAACAGAACCAGCCAGGCGCGGTGGCTCATGCCTGTAATCCCAGCACTTTGGGAGCCCGAGGCAGGTGGATCACCTGAGGTCAGGAGTTTGAGACCAGCCTGGCCAACATGGTGAAATCCTGTCTCTACTAAAAATACAAAAATTAGCCGGGCGTGGTGGCGGGCGCCTGTGGTCCCAGATACTCAGAAGGCTGAGGCAGGAGAATCGCTTGAACCAGGGAGGCGGAGGTTGCAGTGAGCCGAGATTGTGCCATGGGACTCCCGCCTGGGCAACAAGAGTGAAACTCCATCTCAAAACACACACACACACACACACACACACACACACACACAAAAGCAACAGAACCAAGAATAGTGTGAAGAAAAATAAATCATTTACTATTTATTTTATGTGGCACAGTGTGTCGCTCTGTCATGATTCAGAATGCCTCGATTTAATTTAAATAATTTATAAATGTATTCAGGCTGTTTTATTTTCATGGGAGCAGAGAAAGCATTACAATAACAACCCTTTTGAGATTATGTATTATAATGAGACAAAAGTTGAGATATGTAAGACAAATATAACTTTTGGCAAGTCATTTAATCTTTTTGGACATCAATATTCTGACCTATGATAAGAGGGTTAAATTATTTCTAAGGTTGCACTCAGTTCCAAATTCAAAGATTTAACAGTTTTATCAGTAGAGAAGACAGATGGTTTGCTTACCATGTCTGATAATTTTTTGTCCTTCTTTCTCATGAATTTTCGTTTTATATCTTCTTCCGGCTCAAATCTAAATTTTTAATACACAAAGACATTTATAATATGAAATGATGTTTTGAAAACATTTCTAGAACTCTTCAAACGTACTCACTGAATAAAGCGCAGTATGTTCTTACAAGCGGAAGCATCAGTCAGGTCTCCAGGAATGGTGTTTACGTCACTGCTAGGCCATATATACACTGAACTGTGGCAAATTCTGAACACAAGGGCGTTTGAAGAAAGCTTGGTTGACAGGTCACTCAACACATGTTTCAGTGCCTTCTTGAGAAAAATTTCTAAATTAAAAGAATGTAAATAGAAGTTAAGAAAAACAAAATTTTCAACATGAATGGTTCCAAACATACACAAAAGTAGAGCATAGTAAAACTCTCAATACCCATTCCCCATATTCAATAATTATTTTAAAATTTTTTTCCCTATCTTTTTAAAAAATTGAGACAAAATTCACAGACCATAAAATTCATTCTTTTAAAGCAATTTAGGGCTTTTAGTATATTCATAAGGTTTTACAATCATCACTAATTCTAGAACATTTTCATCACTCCAAAAAGAAACCCTGTACCTACCAGCAGTCATTTCTCATTCCCCCGACTTTTCTCAAATTGAAAATTTTCTGATTTACCTCCTATGTCTTTTTTTTTCTTTTCTTTTCTTTTTTTTTGACACGGAGTCTCGCTCTGTCACCCAGGCTGGAGTGCAGTGGCGCGAACTGGGCTCACTGCAAGCTCCACCTCCCAGGTTCATGCCTTTCTCCTGTCTCAGCCTCCCAAGTAGCTGGGTCTACAGGTGCCTACCACCACGCCTGGCTAATTTTTGTATTTTTAGTAGAGACGGGGTTTCATCGTGTTAGCCAGGATGGTCTCGATCCCCTGACCTCGTGATCCGCCTGCCCCGGCCTCCCAAAGTGCTGGGATTACAGGCGTGAGCCACCGCGCCCAGCCCTCCTACATCTTTTCTAATTTGCACATGGTACTCCATGGGCTGGTGGAGATGCTGGAACACAATATCTAAGTTTAAATCCCGTTCAATCCACTTACTAACTATATGATCTTAGTTTTTACCTCTCAGCTTCCTTTGCAAAATGAAAAGAATTTCAGCATACTACCCATGGCAATTATTAACCTACTTTCTTCTTTATGGATTTGCCTATTCTGGACATTTCACATAAGTGGAATCATACACTATGTGACTTTTTGTGTCTGGCTTCTTTCACTCGGCATAATATTTCATCTGTATTGTAGCATGAATCAGTATTTCATTCTTTTTTATGGCAGGATAATATTCCATTGTGTGGATACACCAATTTTGTTATTCATTCATAAATTGATGTACATTTGTTTCCACTATTTGACTGTCATGTATATGCTGCCATGAACATTTGTGCAGAAGTTCAGTTTCTGTGTGGATGTGTTTTCAGTTCTCTTGGGTGATCACCCAGAGTAGAATTTCTGAGTCACACGGCAACTCTCTGTTTAACACTTTCAGGAACGGCCAAGCTGTTTTCACAGCCATACCATTTTATATTCCCATCAGTAATGTATAAGATGCCAGTTACTATTAAAATAATGTACTACTTATAGCAATAAAACTATTGAGTGAAATTTAAATGTCTTAGTTCTTCTTCTCCTTGGACTATATCCCACTACGCCTATATAATCGAAGTTCTGTGTTCTCAAGTCACAGTTGGTTTTTCTTCCTCTGTATGGTTATGTCACCAACATGATATTTGTTTTAGTTTGTTTTTGTTTTCAAGGATTTCGTTTCAATGGACTTTTAAAAAAATGTTTGAATATTCAAAAAATTCGAGTATTTTAATATTTTTGAATACTCGACATATTCAATTTGGAAACATTTTTATGTTTCCAAAGTCAAAACAATATAAGAAGATATAGTCAAAGGGGACAATCTTTAAATACTCGCCTTAGCCTTACATTACTAAATCCTAAGCCTATTTAACCTCGTAGTTAAATATTTATTCAACGACCTGATTCTGCTCAAAAAGTATTTTAAAAATAAATAAATAAATAATGTCTACACTGGTATCTTGATAAATAAATACTTTGGGGCTATTGTACAGAAGAGATTATTCATAACAAATCAGATATTAAAATATCTTGATATGTTTCAGAAAGCAGAATTTAAAGATTTTCAGTTGCACTACAAAACACAAACATAATTTTAAATTAGCTTCTGTTTATCCCTAAAGGACTATTTGGTAAAGTTACCTAAAAAAAATTGTGAAGCCTTTAAAGTTAAGCATGTCCATTCTCTGTATTTTCTCATAAATGAGAGTCCCTTTGTTGAGGGTTGACAGAGTTCGATTAAGGAGGAGGAATACAATAAGTCAGAAGACAAGTTCAAATATATTAATTACTAGGTAAAAAGTATCTGTAGGCCTTGTTTACATTTGATTATGGGATTATTGACTGATTAATGGATTAATTCTACTTTGGAATAAGATTATGGTAAAGTATGTTTTCAGTTTATATCAAGTTGTGAAACGTAAGGTTTTATCCATAAAGTAACATTTTAGGAAAAAACTAACAACATAGGCCCGAAAATGAGTGATTTAGTCCTTATAAAATGGTTCTCATATTAACGGCACATTCGAATTACCTAGAAAGCTTACTGATGCCTGGGTCTCTGTCCCAGAAATGTAGTTTAATGTAGTCTGGTGGTAGGGATGCAAATGTGGACCAAAACTGAGAACAATATATTGGTTGAAGGGATGGGTGGAAAAGAATATTCTGCACCCTCTCCCTCCCTTCCACGGGGCTAGGAAAGGATGACCAGCTGCAGTCTCCTTCAAGGATTGCTGGTATCTGATCAGTTTAGGTGTCTGTCCCCTCCAAATTTCATGTTGAAATGGGATCCCCAGTGTTGGAAGTGGGGCCTGGTGGGAGGCGTTTGAATCATGGTCCCTCATGAATGGCTTGGTGCCATCCTCACAGTAATAAGAGTGAGTTCTCACTCTTACCAGTTCACAAAAGAGCTGGTTCTTTAAAACAGCCTGGCACCTCCTCCCCTCTCTTTCGCTCCTTCTTTTGCCATGTGATACACTGCCCCCTCATGTGCCTTCTACCATGACTGAAAGTTTCCTGAGCCTCACCAGAAGCAGATACTGGCACTATGCTTTTTGTACAGTCTGCAGAACTGTGAGCCAAATAAACCTCTTCTTTATAAATTACCCAGTCGCAGGTATTCCTTTAGAGCGATGCAAAACAGACTAATACAGTACTTTTCATTCCTTATCTTTCTGAACTGCTCTGTGGCTTCTGGTACCACCAATTGTACTTTTCATGAGTGATTTCATTTATTATGACGGTGTTAACTATCATCCTTCAGAGACATGACATTCTCTAGCTCCAACTCCGACCACACTCTTCTAAATTTCTGACTCAGCCAAATGCCTGTTGGGAATCTGTACTCGACCTCCCACTGACATCAAATGAAACAAAATCTCAAACACAGCTCATCCCATTCCTCCTGATGTTCTTTATCTCAGTTTGTGACTGTTGTTCAAGTCAGCAACAGGAAGACATCCTAGAATTTGCTTCATATAAACTCTGTTGATTTTTCTCCCATAAAGTTCTTGTACTCATCCCCATATAATGTAGCATTTAAGAGAGTAGGTTCTGGAGACTCAGGATTATATATACAATTGCAAGTCTGTAATGTACAATTCTTGATGCACATTTACAATATGCTCATTGTGGATATTTACATTTATTGTGACAGTTAATGAAGAGGGGAGTAAAGTTTCTTAAGAAAGGGAACATCTTTTCTTAATCTGCACAGAGGTGCGCCAGGGGCTGGTGGGTGTGCTGGAACACAGTGTCTAAGTGTAAGTCCCATTTAATGTACTTACCAACAATATAATTTTAGTTCATCCTATCTCTCACTCAGTTTCATTTGCAAAATGGAGATAATATCAGTAAATTTCACTATCAATTTTCTAATAAAAAAGAATTTTTCAGAAGACCTACCATTAGGAGTAGCTAGCTGAAAAGCTAAATCAAGGCCTCCTCTTATTCTGAAGAGTATATCCATACTTTCTGAAATCACCTAGAACAAACAGAGATAAAGACAAACTCCCTTGTAAAACAAAACAAACTCACTTTCATATAAATTAGAATCTAATTGAGTTTAGTGTTAAGACATTAATTAATCTTGATTCCTCAAATTATTTCATGAGTTAATTCATGGAAAAAACAAAAACAAAAGCAACTCCAAAATTTTAAATCAGGGGTTCTCAACCTTTGTTCTATACTGAAATCACCTGGGGAGCTTGAAATACTGATACCTGGGCTGTACTCCCAGAGATTCTGATTAATTGGTCTAAGGGGTAGGCCGAGGCACAGGGATTTTTTTTTTTTTTTTTTTTTTTTTGAGACAGGGTCTCACTCTGTCACCCAGGCTGGAGTGCAGTGGCACAATCTCAGCTCACTGCAACCTCCGCCACCTGGGTTTAAGAGATTCTCCTGCCTCAGCCTCCCGTATAGCTGAGATTACAGACATGTACCACCACGCCTGGCTAATTTTGTATTTTTAGTAAAGACGGGATTTCAGAATATTGGCCAGGTTGGTCTTGAACTCCTGGTCTCAAGTGATCTGCCGTCTCGGCCTCCCAAAGTGCTGGGATTGCAGGCGTGAGCCACCGCACCCAGCTGGCACAGGGATATTTGAAAGTACCCTAATGCCCCCATGCCAGTGATTCTAATGTGAACAGTTGAGAACTACTGCTTTAATACAATCTTTCTAAATTATAATCTTGACAGATTTAACAATGACAATAAAACATCAACGATAAAGAACTAGTTTAAGAATGTGACAAGGCACTGAACCTAATATAAGAATACCAGGGAGTCAAGACAATGAGAGGAAACTAATACTGAGGGTGGGATATCAACTGGTGGAATTCTTCAGAGAATATGGCAGGAAGAATCAAAGGTTTACACTCATAGGCTTGATCTAGTGATACGCATTTAGAATCTTAGACTTAGTCTAAGAAAAATCTGAAAACCACACAAAGATTCCGGTATACGGATATTAACTGCCACCAACAGGAGATTGGTTTTAAAAAAATGAATATCATATAGCCATAAAAAACCCATGTTTTTGCTGAAAATTAAAAGGCACAGGATGCTTACAACTTATAAAGGGAAAAGAGCACTTGTAAAATGGAACAGATCAGTTCTTAACTTGGATCCATATGCTGAGTTTCAGTTGGTTGATGATATATGACAAATGACATGTATCATTGTGTGTGTACATATATACACACAGATACACATGTTCATACATATACACACACACACGACAGAAAGAGACAGGAAGGGAGCAAAGAGAGGGGGAGATTTCTTTTGGGAAGAGGTTTCAAAATTTCATCAGATTCTCAAAACATCTCTCAAACAGACTGAAGAACCACAGTACACACTAAGACCCCTATTTTGAAATAAATGAGTAAGTACTAACATTTACTAAGCTCTTCAAATGTAAAAGGCAGGCAGGGTGCAGTGGCTCACGCCTATAATCCCAACACTTTGGGAGGCGGAGAGAGGAGGATCACTTTGAGCCCAGGAGTTACAGACCAGACTGGGCAACACAGGAAGACCCCCATCTCTTTAACAAAAAAAAAAAAAAAAAAAATTTAGCTGAGTGTGGTGGCCTGCACCTGTAGTTCCAGCTACTCGGGAGGTTGAGGTGGGAGGATTGCTTGGGCCTGGGAGGTTAATGCTGCAGTGAGCCATGATCACACCACTGCACTCCAGCCTGAGCAACAGAGCAAGATCTTGTCTCTAAAAATAAAACAAAACAAAAACATGTAAAAGGCACTATGCTAAACATACATACTCACTCCAATCCTCAGAACAGTATTAAATAGGTACCAATACAATTTTTCTCATTTTACAAATCCTTTGTCACATTTCTATAAGGGTCACTGTTTTTATTTATTCTAAAATTGTAATCCGCTGAAAGATCATATACTCTTTGTCCCAATTCTACTTCTGGGAATTTATTCTAAGGAAACAATCAAGGAAGTTCGGGACAAATTTAGCTCCAATGTTGTCCATTTATTCTACTGTTGTTCATCACAGAAAAATAAATGGAAACCACTTAAATAGCGATTAATAAGAAATCAGTTAAATAAAGAATACTACCATACAAACTAGTATGTACCCGTTTAAATAAAAAATATTTAAAGATAATGAAGATAAAAGTTAGACAGGAAAGAGCACATTTTAACTCTGCTACTGACTGTATAATTTTACACAATTTAACTCGTCATTTAAGCCTGTTTCTCTTCTGTAAAACTGAAAAACTACACAACTTCCCAGGGTTGTTATGAAGATTCCGTAAGACATCCTTCATAAAAGCACTAGTCTTCCTAGACTTCCGATTTAGCTGAGATACTCTCTGAAGAAATAATACTGCAGCTGAGATCTGAAGGGTGAGTGAAGGTCCAACAGCCCATTCCACGCAGGGACATCGACGAGCGAAGATCTGGTTAAAAGACCACGTAGGTGAATACCCCAGATGGTTACATCTCAAGGCCAAGGATGGTAAGAGTGGAGACAGTGACAACAGACAGACATTTAGAAGGAGAATCTACAGGACTTGATCATTGACTGCACGTCCGGGAGTTGAGAAGAGGGAGATGTCAAGGATGATTTCCAGGTTTTGGGCAGACACAACAGGATGTATGGTGGTGCCATGTATAGAGTTGGGGGTTCCTGGAGGAAGAGCAGGTGTGGGGTGTGGAGAGGTGGAAACGCACAGTTTGGAACTTGCTGAGTTTGAAATACATATGAGCTATCCAAGTGGAGGCACGGTTAGCAGATTTGCGGGTGTGGAGCTCAGAAGAAAGGTCTCACTTAGAGATAAAATTTTAGGAGACCGCATAGGGTGTAAAGCATCCCTGAAGAGCACCAACATTTAGGATAGGGATTGGAGAACCTTGGTGAGCAATGAGACAGGAGGGAAACCGGGGGAGGGAACACCGCGGGAACTAGGGGAATATAATATAGAAGAAAGTTGCGCCTGTCTTTCCCAGGTGAAGCCCTTCTTGCAAGGCTTCAAAAACGCCGAAAAGTCTCTCAAAATGCTTTCACACAGAGGAGCAGCAAGGGGTGCGTGTCCAAAGTGGCCGAGGCGGGGTGCACACTTGTGTGGGGCACTTTCCCTCCGGCCCAGCGCGGAGACAGGCGAACCGCAGGGCCGCCCAGCCCGCGGAGCTCGCCGCTGCCATCTTGGGCCCCGGCAGGACCAGCTCCTTTCAGGCGCTGTGGAGCCCTGCTCGTGGCGGCTGCCAAAGTCCGGGGAAAAACACACGGGTCGGTGACTAGCTCACCATGTCCGCGACGTGGACTCACCATGTCCGCGACGTGGCGGTGACAGGGACGACGACGCCTGCCCAAAAGCTCCGGGGGACGGCCCTGAAGTGGCGTCTCCGCACGGTCGAGGGGCGGGGCCCGGGCGGACCAACTACAACTCCCGACGTGCTCGGCGGCATTACGTCACGGAGCGTACCACACTACAGTCCCTCGCCGACGGCGAGGCGGGGCGGGGCGGGTAGCCGAAGGCTTATGTTTGATGAATTCTCTTAGCTAAGTCTTTTCTGTCCTGCGAACACTCACACGTCCTTCTGTGTGTTCTTCGATGCGGATTCGAATCTCCTCGTATTCCCCCTCAGCGCGCTTGGAATGGATTCTCCCGTACCCGGGGCAACACATCACACAATAAACGCCAGCTGTTGTGGAACGTGCAGAGGCGCTTCGCAGCCCAGGCGTGTCGCGGGCGCCCGGGAACCCTCGCCGTTCCCGCCGCGCAGTTAACCTGGACGAGCTGGGACAACCTGATCTCGGCTGTCGGAGTGGGTGTCCTCAGGAGAGGTGACTTGGTCCTCGCGGACGCCAGGTGTTGTCCCTTAGATACCTGCCACCTCCGTTTCCTTCCTGGAAAATAGACTCGTCATCACCTCCTCCAGTTTCTGCCCCTTCTTCACCTCTCACGACACTCTATCCGTACTTTTCCAAGGGAACGTGCCATCATTCGGCTATGCTCTATTTTCTTGTCTAATAGATTGTAAGGTCCTGCGGGCAGCATCTATGCTTTCTTAAATCTGTGTTTCTAGTTTCTGCCAGCAAGCTTGACCCGAAGGGGTTTGCAGACTATCTGTTAAATAAATGAATGAATAATTTTGTAAATGTTGCTCAAGAAGAGTTAAGTAGTGGCGGGGCCGGGCGCGGTAGCTCAGGCCTGTAATCCCAGCACTTTGGGAGGCCGGCCGAGGCAGGCGCATCACCTGAGCTCGGGAGTTCGAGACCAGCTTGGGCAAAATGGTGAAACTCCCGTCTCTACTAAAAAAAAAAAAAAAATAGCCGGGCGTGGTGGCGAGTGCCTGTAGTCCCAACTACTTAGGAGGCTGATACAGGTGAATGGCTTGAACCCGGGAGACGGAGGCTGCAGTGAGCCAAGATCGCGCCACTGTACTCCTAGCCTGGGCGACAGAGCGAGACTCCACCTCAAAAAAAATAAAAAAAGAAAAAAGTTAAATATATATATATTTTTTAAATTATGCTTTGTGTTCTAGGGTACACGTGCACCATGTGCAGGTTTGTTACATATGTATGTATACATGTGCCATGTGGTGTGCTGCACCCATTAACTCGTCATTTACATTAAAGAAAAAAGTTAAGTAGTGGGGAAGTTCTAGGCAAGAATTTCTTCCTTCCCTCCTCCCTGGCTGGCTTGTGTGCCAGGAGCTGCTCACACGCGGGGATACCGTGAGAGGGGGGAACCTCAGTCTCGCAGCAGCTCCTGCCCTTGTGGAGCCAAGTTTCCTGGGGCAAACAACTGTTCGTGAAAGGATCCCTCATGACGAAAATAAGATGGTGACCTAGCAGACAACCACGATGAGGGCTTGGAAGAAGTGCATGCCGCCGTGATGGAGTTAAAGAAGGGATTAAGAAACTGAGCAGTCGGAAGAATCAGTGTTAATGGCGAGGGGTGGGCTGGGGAGAGAAAGGGTCGGCACGCTGAAGTAGGTGGCTAAAGAGAAAGGGCATGGACAATGGTCCTGTGGCTGGAGAGAGCCCAGCCTAAGGACAGAAAGAGAACAGTTGCAGCCAAGGGGCCACGGAAGGGGTTTCCATGGTGACAGATGAGGCTGGCTGATACAGGGCCTGAGACATTTAGGCCCCAGTAGCAGCACTGGAATCCTTTGTGGTTGGGCAGGGGAGTGTAGCTTTGAAATATAAGGTAAATGAAAGTACTACATCTTGACTGAAGTTTGGTTTTAAAGCATCCCTGATTAATGGAAGAGGTAGGATGTGGAGAAGTGCGTTGTGTTTGCTTATGTTTTAGTTTAAAATGAATCTTCAGTTGCCCCTTTGGTGTTACCTATTAGCAATGATTCATGATCAGGTGAGCCATTGTTTCAGGCTGGCTTGCAGAGAGGCACTGAAACAGCTTGCTCTGAATTTAAGGTAAAAGGCCCCGCGCGGTGGCTCATGCCTGTAATCCCAGCACTTTGGGAGGCCGAGGCGCGTGAATCACTTGAGGTCAGGAGTTTGAGACCAGCCTGGCCAACATGGTGAAACCTCGTTTCTACTAAAAATACAAAAATCAGCCGGGCGTGGTGGCAGGTGCCTGTAGTCCCAGCTACTTGGGAGGCTGTGGCAGGAGAACTGCTTGAACTCAGGAGGCGGAGGTTGCAGTGAGCTGAGATAGCGCCACTGCACTCCAGCCTGGGTGACAGAGCAAGACTCCATCTTAATAAGTAAATAAATAAATACATTTAAGGTAAAATGTTCTTACCAGCTGGGCGCGGTGGCCCACGCCTGTAATCCCAGCACTTTGGGAAGCCGAGGCAGGTGGATCACCTGAGGTCAGCAGTTCGAGACCAGCCTGGCCAACATGGTGAAACCCCATCTCTACTAAAAAATACAAAAGTTAGCTGGGCGTGGTGGCGGGCACCTGTAATCCCAGCTACTCGAGAGGCTGAAGCAGAAGAATCGCTTGAACCTGGGAAGTGGAGGTTGCAGTGAGCCGAGATCGGGCTGTTGTACTCCAGCCTGGGCTACAAGAGCGGAACTCTGTCTCAAAAAAAAAAAAAGTTCTTACCTTGGATTACAAATTGGGAAGACTAACCCAATGTTTGTTTTCTTCACTTGTGTGTGCCCAGTGCTTAGCTCATAGTTGGTGCTTTAAAAACTTTAGGATGGGATGGATGTAAGTATTCTTAGCTCTTTGGGCCTCCTCCTTTTTTTTTTAAGAACATGTCTACTATTAAAAATTAATTTCTTACCTAATGTAAATGATGAGTTAATGGGTGCAGCACACCAACATGGCACATGTATATATATATGTAACAACCTGCACATTGTGCACATGTACCCTAGAACTTAAAGTATAATAAAAAATAAAAATAAAAAAAATTAATTTCTGGCCAGGCGCGGTGGCTCATGCCTGTAATCCCAGAGCTTTGGGAGGCTGAGGTAGGTGGATCAGTTGAGGCCAGGAGTTCGAGACCAGCCTGGACAACATAGTAAAACTCTGTCTGTACTAAAAATACAAAAACTTAGCCAGGCATGGTGGCGCGTGTCTGTAATCCAGCTACTCAGGAGGCTGAGGCAGGAGAATCACTTGAACCTGGGAGGCAGAGTTTGTAGTGAGCCAAGAACATGCCACTGCACTCCAGCCTGGGACCGTCTTAAAAAAAAGAGAGAGACTCTGTCTTTAAAAAATTAGTTTCTAAATAAAGAGTTGCATGTTTAATATTTCACCTTTGTTTGAAGTGGTCATTTCCAAAGAAAGCTCAGAGTTGAAGTACGCCCGTTAACAAATACTCAGAATTCATTGTGGAATTTTTGTTTTTGTTCTTGTCTTTATCTTGCCTAAATAGTTGTTCTCTTCCTCATTCCCTTTATAATTTTGCCAGTGGCACATTTATTATGTTTATTTAAACTTGAAAAAAACCCTCAAGAATTGTAGGGTAATACCTAGATGTATCGTGCACTCTGAAAAGCTGTTATATTTTCAATATAAGGGACAGTGCAGGGTGCTGAAATCATTATGTGTAAACTGTAAAAATGTCTGCCTTCTGTAATTAGGATTTTTAAATCTACCCTGAACTTCTCAGGAGGATTTGTTTATAATACACCATACAGTAATAATTTTATCATTTCCAACAGATAAATGGCAGTGTAATAGATGATATCTTACACATTCCTTTGTAATCATGGGCACTTCACATGGAGAGTCAAGGGGGAGGGCTCATACGGGTAATTCTGAATCCCACTGTTCTCCCCCACTCCACAGACTGGTTCTTTCCCCATAGAGTATGAGGCTCTTGTTTCATAGTAAACCTTAAAACTCTCAGACTGAAAGTAATTAGAACTGGAGATTAGTCTAAACCACTGTTTTCTAAACATTTCCCTTTTATTTTTATTTTCAATGTAAAGTAGGATTTTTCGATAAAAGAAGTGACCCCAGGGAAATTTTGAAGTTAGCAGTGTAGAAAGCACCACCATGCCTACCATGCCTGCGGAAGGAGGGAAAACGGACATGGAAAGGATTGGCCTCTTTAGTGAGATGGAGTATATTACTGTGGGTGATAAATATGTGTCACAGTTTAATCGTAAGTATATTTGCTTTCCTCTATGGGTGAATAGTGGGTATTTTCTAGATCAAATTTAGAATTTAATATTTACATTGAATGATTGTTTAGTGGTTTATATTTTAAAGCATTTAGTTCTAAAGTTTGTTTAACTTGTAAAATTTCAATGGAGTTAAGCGATTTCATTTATTTATTTATTTAGAAACAGGATATCTGTTCCCCAGGCTGGAGTGCAGTGGCCTGATTATAGCTCACTGCATCCTCAAACTCCTGGGCTCAAGGGATCCTGCCATGTCAGCCTCCTGAGTCCCTGGGACTACAGGCATACACTACCATGCCCAGCTAATTTTTAAATACTTTGTGGAGGTGGGGACTCTCACTATGTTGCCCAGGCTGGTCTTGAACCCTTGACCTCAAGAGATCCCTCCCCCTCAGCCTCCCATAGTGCTGGGGTTAAGAGGCATGAGCCACTGCACCCAGCAAGAACTTTATTTTATGAGAATAGGAATCTCGTTTCATGAGGGTACTCTATCCTCATTTATTGTCCTCATAGGTAATTTTATTTCTTTTCAAAGGTGCCTGGCAGTTTTCTCCCAGAATATTTTGGTTAGATGGGACACTCCCCTATGCAAACAGCATTTACATTTGCATCCAAGAAGGCCATCCATTGTTACCTTCCTGAGAAATGAAATGCTAAGTGAATGGCTGAGGGATTTTTACAAAAGTCGTAAATAATAAAAAGAGCTAATATACATAAATATTTAAATGTTTCCATTCAATTTTTGGATATCCAATTACTTCTATATAATAATACAAAATAAAACACTGATTTGGAGACATCTCCAAGATACACTGTCAAATAAAAAAACAAGGTGGAGAATGTTCT